CTAATCATTAGTTCCCAACCGTGGGGTGAATGGAATCCTATACATAAGTCGGTTAATAAAAGAATAGAAAGGGCTTTTATTGTGTCGCTTAAGTTATATATGAATTCTTGAACCAAAGAATTAAGAATAATAAGTTCTTCATTAACTAAAAGAGAATAACCACTTAGAATAACGAAACAGATTATATTTGTCGAGAAGTGCAAAATCGTATAGATACGATCCTCGTTGTGCATCTTGATCAATTGGATCGTTTCTTTGTGGATTCCGATACGAAACTTTTGTAGATGTATTTCGGGGTATTCCTTTATCATTTCGTCCAACAGGAAGAGTTCCTCTAATTCTATTAATTTTTCTAGAATACCCTTTTCTTGAATATCATTTAAAAAAGTTTCAGATTTACTAGTATTCCACCAATTAATAATCCAATATCCCAGACTTTTATTAAATGAAAAAGAGACCCACCAGGGCAAAAATACTATAGACGTAAGATATAGAAGGGGAATGAATGCTTTTTTTCCATTTTTTCGTCTGTGAATTTTTAATGAATCCGCTTCATTCGTCAACTCTATACGATCTAATATTTCTATCAAGCATAAGTTCTATTCTAATATTAGAATAGAAAGCTTCGAACCCACAAATCTATTCCCTCTTTTTTATTTGTGAGTAAGTGGTTAGTCCTTGAATTTAGTGAATTTACATACGCATAAAAAAAATTGCGGACAAAAAAAGTTAAGAAAAGTGCTTCATTTCAAAGTACTTCAATTGGTACACGCAAGAAATAGGCCAATTCCGCTGCTTTTTGCTCAATTTCTCGTGGAGTCAAATTCTCATCAGTACGAGTCAAAGGAATGGCCCCCTGGCCTCTGATTTCCATATAAAGGACACGCCGAGCATAAATACCCTCTTTAACTTCTATTCTGATAGACTGAATATCTTTCATAAAGAATCGGAGTAAGATGCGACGATTTTTTCCTGGAAATCCCCAACGAAAAATACACACTATTCCTTCTTTTCTATCGAATCGATCATAACCACTACCTACATTCCACGAAATTGTGCACCACAAATAAGAGCTAATAAATAGACCGGCGAGCCCATAGAAAGACATCACGATCCCTTGTGGAAAAAAAATTATTTGCTGAGACGGGAATAAAGATATCAAATTTCTGTCAAGATAACTGGAAATTCCAATCAATAAAAACCCCAATGAACCTAAAAAAAGTATAATGGCCCAGCAGAAATTACTTATTTTTCGAGACCCCGCTATAAGTTCTATCCATATATGTTCTGATCGCCAACTCATACTAGATCTAGTTGCATTTTATTGGAAGTGGGAGACCGGCCAAAATGAATTTTACTTTACGTTTTTTTGTTTCCGAAGGAACTTTCATCAACTTGCACTATTCTGATGTGAATCTTTCGAAGCAATTCGTTAGATATAAAAGTAAAATAATAGGAGCCCTATCATCCCCTATCTACACATATAACTACATGGGCTTTGCATTTATTTCTATTTCAGGCATCCGCCCCAATCTCGCCTTATTTTCAAATAGCTCGTTTACTCATATATCCTATTTACGCCTGCATAAGAACCCTTTCTTTTATGTTTGAAAGAAGCCACAAGTTAGACCATATTATACTGAATAGATATCTGTGTTATGATCCAAGTCTAAGTCTTGAAAAAAAAAATAGATGAAATTTGCCCCCATCAGATCTAAAAAATCTTGTTTTTTTGAACATGAAGAGATAAAGAAGCCATTGCAATTGCCGGAAATACTAAGCCCACTAAAGGCACAAAAATAGAGGGTAAGTTGTTGAGAATTGTCATAGAATGGGCACCTCGATTTAATATTTGTACCTGTTATTTATTTATTGTTATATTAATCTTTTTACCTATTATCGCTATATTCTATTGTTAGAAAGATATCTTAAATAGAAAGATCTCTTAAAATTATTATAATTCCTATATAATTATACTAAGTATATCTAAGTGAGTATATATAATAAAGTGCAAGGAATATAGAACTAACTAAATGGACCTATTCATTTTTCTACATGAAATACATGTATGATAATCCACTTGTTTGTTATTCTTCTTTATATTATCTTTTTCTTGTCTTATAACTTGAATTTCATAATTTTAATTTAATAAAGAGTTTCTTCCGCTTCTAAATTCTTCCAAAATTCGTTATAATATAATACGAAAGGAAGAAAAGAAGATGAAATTCGTTTTCTTTATTATTTACCCTGCCCAATTGAATTTCGCGGAAAAAGAATTCGCTCTTTTATCTTGTTCATAGAGATTTCCTAATTAGGAATCAGGAATATCGGTAAAAAAAAAATTATCTGTATGATTCTTTGCAAAATTTCCTCTTATGTCACCAAAAAAATCCATTCTTCGTATTTTTCCGATTTTTCCTTTGATTCCGATAAAGAAATACTTAATAAATACTTATTCTAAATAGTTATTCGCCAGAAATAATTTAACGAATTAAATTGAATTAACTATTAACTTAAGGTTCTACTTAATTTATGATTCAAAGGAAAGAAAGCGTGGAGCTGAAATAACTCACTCAGAACGCCCTTTAACAGATTACGTGGTACGATTGGATCGAATAAGCCCTTATGGAATAAAAATTCAGCCGCTTGTGAACCTTCAGGTACTGTCTTATTCAATGTTTGTTCAATTACTCTTTTACCTGCAAATGCAATGTAGGCGTTGGGTTCAGCAATAATGATATCCCCCAACATACCAAAACTAGCTGTCACCCCCCAGTCGTAGGAGATGTAAGGATTGATACATAAACTAACTTTTTATTCGATTGATAATCATATAAAGCGGAAGAAATTTTAGCCATTTGCATCAAGCTCAAACTTCCTTCTTGCATGCGTGCTCCTCCGGAAGCACACACTAGAATAAGAGGTAAAAATTTATTGGTAGCATACTCGATTAAACGAGTAATTTTCTCGCCTACTACCGATCCCATACTACCCCCCATAAACTGAAAATCCATAACCCCAATTGCTACGGGAATGCCGTTTAGTTGACCTATGCCGGTTTGAATGGCCTCGGTTAATCCTGTCTTTTTTTGATAAGAATCAATACGATCTTTATAAGGTTCTTCCTCCGAATGAAAGTCAATGGGATCCAGAGAGAACATGTCCTCATCCATAGGATCCCAAGTGCCTGGATCAATCGAAAGTTCAATTCTATCTGAACTACTCATTTTCAAATGATATCCACATTGTTCACAAATATTCATTTTTGATTTAAAAAATTTCTTATAATTTAATCCATAACAAATTTCACATTGAACCCACAAATGCTTGTATTTTTGAGTTACGCCGAGATCATTAGAATTTTCTCTTAGAGCGAAATCGCTGCCGTTCGTGCTAGTTCTTAGCCTGGAATTCCCGTTTTCACTACTATTTCTACTTTCACCCCAAATGTAAGTAGAAATGTAACTTTCGCTGTAATGTTCACTACCACTTAAAATATAACTATCAATCCCGATTTGAGAACGAAGATAACTGTCAATGCAACTATTGATGTAATTATTCCAACTATATTTAGTATCATACATATAATAATCATAGTGGGAATCGTCACTCCTAGACCCCTTATTTAAATAACTAGAATTCCAATAACTAGAAAAAGAATTTTCTAGTTCACTCAAAAAAGAATGATTATTGTCAATCCCAAAAACTTGATTTTCAATATCAAAATATATGGAATAACCATCTTTTTTATTATCCCTACCTAAAACTAAAAAAGTGTCATCCACGTTTAAATTCCGAATGTCCCTAACGCCGACTAAATGATCAACATTACTACTGTTACTACGACTCCAATTATAGGTGTTTTTTTCTGTATCATTTAGAATCGGGTCTTCACTTACACTGATATTTTCAAGAGGACCAAGATTATCCATTGATTTACTTAGCCTACACCTGTATTCTAACTCCACATTGGATAACATCGAATTGAACCAACATTTTTTCATAGAGCTTTCTTGCCGCTATTTACATCAAAATAAATAGATGTATAGTCATTCGATGAAAAATCATTTGAATATTTCACTTCCTCTCAGAATAAGCATATAGATCGAATAAGTATATAATCCAATCACTAGGATTATTAAGTAATAAAGTGGATAT